TACAAAATGTGCAAAAATCACATGCATTCCTATACACCAATAACAGACTTAAAGAGAGCCAAATCAAGAACAAACTTCCATTCACAATTGCCACAAAGAGAATAAAATACCTGGGAATACAACTAACAAGGAATGTAAAGGACCTCTTCAAGGAGAACTACAAGCCACTGCTCAACGAAATAAGAGAGGACACAAACAGATGGAGAAACATCCCATGTTCATGGTTAGGAAGAATCAATATCGTGAAAGTGGCCATACTGCCCAAAGTAATTTACAGATTCAATGCTATCCCCATCAAGCTACCAATGATCTTCTTCACAAAACTGGAAAAAAACACCTTAAACTTCATATGGAACCAAAAGAGAGCCCGCATAACCAAGTCAGTTGTAAGCAAAAAGAACAAAGCGGGAGGCATCACACTACCGGACTTCAAACTATACTACAAGGCTACAGCAATCAAAACAGCATGGTACTGGTACTAAAACAGAGATATAGACCAATGGAACAGAACAGAGGTCTCGGAGGCAACGCAACATATCTACAACCATCTGATCTTTGACAAACCAGACAAAAACAAGTAATGGGGAAATCCCTGTTCAATAAATGGTGTTGGGAAAGCTGGCTAGCCATGTGCAGAAAGCAGAAACTGGACCCTTTCCTGACACCTTACACTAAAATTAACTCCAGATGGATCAAAGACTTAAACATAAGACCTAACACCATAAAAATCCTAGAAGAAAATCTAGGCAAAACCGTTCAGGACATAGGTGTAGGCAAGGACTTCATGACCAAAACACCAAAAGCATTGGCAACAAAAGCCAAAATAGACACATGGGACCTAATCAAACTCCACAGCTTCTGCACAGCAAAAGAAACAGTCATTAGAGTAAATCGGCAACCAACAGAATGGGAAAAAATTTTTGCAGTTTACCCATCTGACAAAGGGCTGATATCCAGAATTTACAAAGAACTAAAACAGATTTACAAGAAAAAAACTAACAAGCCCATTCAAAAGTGGGCAAAGGATATGAACAGACACTTTACAAAAGAAGACATACATGAGGCCAACAAACATATGAAAAAATGCTCATTATCACTGGTCATCACAGAAATGCAAATCAAAAACACATTGAGATACCATCTCACGCCGGTTAGAATGGCGATCATTAAAATATCTGGAGACAACAGATGCTGGAGAGGATGTGGTGAAATAGGAACACTTTTGCACTGTTGGTGGGAGTGTAAATTAGTTCAACCATTGTGGAAGACAGTGTGGCGATTCCTCAAGGACATAGAAATAGAAATTCTATTTGACCCAGCAATCCCATTACTGGGTATATATCCAAAGGATTACAGATCGTTCTACTATAAGGACATGCCCACATGAATGTTCATTGCAGCACTGTTTACAATAGCAAAGACCTGGAACCAACCCAAATGCCCATCGGCGATAGACTGGACAGGGAAAATGTGGCACATATACACCATGGAATATTATGCAGCCATAAAAAATGATGAGTTTGTGTCCTTTGTAGGGACATGGATGAACCTGGAAACCATCATTCTCAGCAAACTGACAGAAGAGCAGAAGATCAAACACCGCATGTTCTCACTCATAGGCGGGTGTTGAACAATGAAAACACATGGACACAGGGAGGGGAGCACTACACACTGGGGTGAGTTGGGGGGAAATAGGGGAGGGATGGTGAGGGGTGGGGAGCTGGGGAGAGATAGCAAGGGGAGAGATGCCAGATGCAGGTGATGGGGAGGAAGGCAGCAAATCACACTGCCACGTGTGTACCTATGCAACAATCTTGCATGTTCTTCACATGTACCCCAAAACCTAAAATGCAATAAAATAAATAAATGGGGGAAAAAAAGAAGCATCTTACAATCTGCCCTCTCTGAAGTCTGCTATCTGAAAGCTTCCTCTGCACAATAAAACTTGGTCTCCACAATCCTTTATCTTAACCTAAACATTTTCTTTCTATTGATCCCAGGTCTTCAAATAAACTCAACCAATTGTCAATGAGAAAATGTTTGACTTCATCTGTAGCCTGGAAGCCCCTGCGTTGAGCTGTCCCATCTTTCTGAACCAAACCAATGTATTTCTGAAATGCATTTGATTGATGTATCACACCTCCCTAAAATCTACAAAACCAAGCTGTGCCCGACCACCTTGGGTCCATATTCTCAGGATCTCCTGAGGGCTGTCACTCATGTTTGGCTCAGAATAAATCTCTAAAAATATTTTACAGAGTTTGACTCTTTTCTTCAATAAGAGGACAGCATCTGCTACACTGCATTCACAAATGTGGAAATCCCTATTAAAGGACAGCTTTTAAATACCCCCAAATCACACAAAAGTGTAGGCATATTTTACCAATAATCTTGGAAGACAATGAAAATGCTCTATAAATGAAGAGCATGCCTAAAGAATATACTAGAAAGTAGATCATTTCAATGGCAAAAGAACTTTTCCAGAAATTTTGGAAAAAAAGGAAAAACGATCCCATTTCCATGAGGATGAGAATGTTGTGGGCAACTGCTGGGGAAGACGAAGTCCCACAGTTTCCCATTCTCTCGGGGATAGGCCTCGTGGGACCCTCCCTCCGTGGATGTCAGAGTGGGGCATGAGGAAGGCATGAGGCACAGGAAGGCCTGGGTCAGCAGGAGGGACAGTGTGAGAGGGGGTGACTGTCCCCAGGCATTCATGCTTGGGCCTGGGGAGGCGATGGGGGACGTGACCAGACCTCTCTGCCCTCCACGCTGGGTGCAGCTTTTTTCAAACCCACCAAAGCCAGAGGACCTGACGGAGCCTACAGCATGACGCCCAACTCAGGGCAGTGGAGGCTGCGGGGAGGAAAGGAGTCTGGAGAATATCCAGCCAGCTCCTCTCAAAGCAGGCCTCTGTTTGGGCGCAGGGACAATTAGTCTTGTCTAGGTTCAACATTCACAAAGAAAGAATTTAGAAATCCGACCTAAAGAACGGTGAGAGCTCTGTTTTTATTTGCAGCCATAGCTAGTGCCATCTATCACAGAATGATAAAAATACTTTTACAAAATATAACAAATGAAAAGTTAGTAGCCTTAAATATAAAGAATCTATAATAAAAGGAACAAACAGAAAAGTTCAAAAACTTGTTTTTACACAAAGACCATATACGGGAAATTCACAAAGAAAATTTCAATCTCTGCTGGGTGCGGTGGTTCATGCCTGTAATCCCAGCACTTTGGGAGGCCGAGATGGGAGAATCATGAGTTCAGGAGTTCAAGACCAGCCCGGCCAACATGGTGAAACCCCATCTCTACTAAAAATAGAAAAATTAGGGAAGCGTGGAGACACGCCCATAATCCCAGCTACTCAGGAGGCTGAGGCAGGAGAATCACTTGAACCTGGGAGGTGGAGGCTGTACTGAGCTGAGATTGTGCCACTGCCCTCCAGCCTGGGGGACAGAGCGAGACTCCATCTCAAAAAAGCCCCAGAAAATTCCAATCTCAAAGCATGTGGATTTTAAACTTTTAATCTCACTTGTAATTCATAAAACAAAGATAACGTGCCATTTTTCATAATAAAACTGGCACTGTCTTAACTAATAAAAACTGGCGGTTTTTTAAATGACCACATTTAACATTGTTTAGAGGCGCAATGCGGGCACCTCTCCAGGGTTGTTGCTGAGTTTGAGTCCTCAGAGGCGGGTCCTCCCTGGATTCTTCTCTGTGATGCCACTCTCCTCCCGTGATTGGCAGCTTCTGTTTGTCCCCATCTGTACCCCCAGAACGAAGAGGAGCCACCCCTTGCTTGGTTTCCCAGTTCTTCCAGTCTCTGTTCTTTGCCTTTTTTGGGTCGTCCAACCCATCCCTATACTTGATGGGGTTCAAGGTCATTGGGGCAGTGCACCCCAGTTCCCCCAGTGGAATTTAGACAGGAGTATAACGAGTTTGAACACATCCAAAATGAAAATGGAAATTCAACACAGCTCATCTTGGTGAGTTTCTGTTTGGTTTCCTACTGAAAAGTCTTACAGACCATAACAGCACATTCTCTTTGATACAGCAGGCGTTAAAGGTAGGTGCACCAGGCACAAGACGCACAAAGACGCAGCCCCTGCCCTCAGCATGCGCCATGTGCCCCTGCCCTCAGCATGCGCCATGTGCTGGCGGACGGCTGCCAGTTCTCACCTGTTCTCACGCTTTTGATCCTGCAGGAACACGGAAAAGACCTTCATGCTGACTTAACTGCTCTCCCTATCAGATGGAGATGGGCATGAAAGCAGATATCTCAGTTCCGTCTCACTGGAATCTTTCTAACTAAACACTATGGCTCTAAAATTGTCTGCCTGTCAGGGGAAAATGGACTTTTCAAACTAAACCTTTAGGAAAGGTCATTTTCATGTTTTTTTAAACATGAAAAATAGCACAATGGCTCAGGAATCTGACAATGCCAGCCTTCTTACTGTGGTTTGTCTTCAGACTAATTTTTTTAACCTCCTTATGTCTCAGTTTCCTCACTTTCAAGAATGGGCATGACATTAGTAATTACCACATAGTTTGAAACAAAATAAGATAATATGAAACAATATATTTAGCTCAGTATAGGTTGCTATGCTCTGGGAAAGGACAATAAAGACTTTCATGATTTAATTTTGCTTTTTGTCTAAAGCAGAAATAATTTCTTATTGAGAAATGAGAATTCTCAGCTTCTCTGCTTTAAACCAAGGCCTTGAAGATGCAGGAGTTTTCTAAGTGTCTCATGGAAAAATAAAGAACCCTGGGCATGTCTCAGTGAAAACGGCACCTCCCTGGAGGGTCACCCGAATACCTCTTTCTATCAGGGGAGCCAACCCTTTCCTTACAGACATCCTAACTTTCTGAAATGTCCGTACCAGAAAGATGGTGGGTGCTTTACCACAGTGAAACAAACAAACCAATATATTGTAAGTGCAACGGTTATGGGCTGCGTCCTGGAGCAAGGAGGGGCAAGCCACGCCCACACTTACCCGGCTGGGCTGGACACTTCAGGACGCCGCAGGTACGTTTTGGGGAGGTTTCCAAGTTCCTGGGCCATCACGTACTGAGTATAGTCATCCTGCCACGTGAAACCTGGGGACAAAAGTTGCAAAAACTGTGTTATCACTTTGGAAGTTTAGCCAAAGCTCTTGCTTCAGTCTCATAAGTAATTGCATTTCAGCATCACGTTGATGGTCCCATCAGCAAAGTAAGGCTCCCTCTCACTGCAGTTTATCAAGAAGATCTTCTCCTTATAAGAAATTCCAGCTTTCTGAAACTTCTAGGCCAAATAGAAAATGGATGCTCTGCTACATTTTAAAAAAAGGCTTGGGTGAGAGTGGAGAAAGATGGCCAAATAGAAGCCTCCAGATCTTCCTCCCTGTAGGAACACCAAATTGTCCACACAGAAGAGCACCTTCATAAGAACCACACTTCAGGGGAGTGGTCACAGTACCTGGTTTTAACTCCATATCAATGAAGGAGGCACTGGAGAGGGTAGGAAGAGAGTTTTGAATTGCGATGTCATCACTCACCCATCCCCCTGCGGTGGTGGTGTGCCAGAGACAGAGAACGTGTGCGCTGGGGGAGACAGCACAGTGACTGTGGGACTTTGTACTGGAACTCAGTGTTGCCGTGTCACAGTCACAACCACACCAGGCAGAACTCAACCAGTGCCCATGGAGGGAACATTTAGACCAGCCCTGGACAGAGGAGCACCCATCCCAGTGTTCAGAATCTGAGTTCTGACAAGCCCCCACCGTGGGCTAAAGTGCTCTGGGGTCCTAAATAAACTTGAAGGCTGCCTCAGACGCAAGGGCTACAACTCCTGGGCAAGTCGTGGTGCTGTGCGTGGCCTAGAGCCACTGGACTTGGGGTGCACACAACCCAGTGAGGTACCAGCTGGTGCAGCTACGGGGGCTGTGTCACTCCTCCCTCAACCCTAGGCAGCACAACTCACAGCTCCAAAAGAGACTCCTTGTTTCCACTTGAGGAGAGGAGAGGGAGGCGTACAGAGGATTTTCTCTTACAACTTGGTTAACTGCTCAGCCAAAGTAGGACAGAGCTCTAGGCAGAGTCATGAGGCCCCATTCTAAGCCCTAACTCCCAGAGGACATTTCTAGACACACCCTGGGTCAAATGAAAACCCACTGCCTTGAGGGGAAGATCCCGGTACTGGAAGGATTCATCATCTGCTGACTGCAGAGCCCTTGGGCCGTGAATAATCAGCTGTGGTACCCAGGCAGTACATTTGGGCCTTAGGTGAGACTCAGAGCTGTCTCGGCTTCAGGTCTGACCCAGTACAGTCCCAAGCATGCCTGTGATCCTGCCTCCCAGCCCTCGGAAGCTCAGGACAGAGAGAGAGAGACTCCGTTTGTTTGGGAGAAAGTAAGAGAAAGAAAGCAAAAGTCTGCCTGATAATCCACAAAATTCTTCTGGATCGTATCCAAGACTACCAAGCTGATACTTCTGTCAGTGTGCAAGAGCCATGAAATTGCCGGGCTTTGAGTGCCCCCTTATGCAGATATGGCTGTAGGGATTAAAAACTTAGATCACAACACCAACGTCCCTTTAGATACCTCGAACACCTTCCCAACAAGGATGAGAACAGAGATTTTAGAGAATCCAGTAAATATCTAACTCAGACACCAACAAACGTCCAAAAGCATCAAGACCATCAAGGAAAACATGACCTCAGCAAATGAACTAAATGAGGCCCCAGGGACCAGTCCTGGAGGGTTAGGGCTATAGGTGACCTTCCTGACAAAGAATTCAAAATCGTTGTTTTGGAAAAATTCAGTGAAATTCAAGATAGCACAGAGAAGACAAACAGAACCCTATCAGATAAACTTAACAATGAAATTGGAATAACTGAAAACAATCATGCAAAACCTCTGGAGTTGAAAAATGTAACTGACCGCCACAGAATGCCTCAGACAATCTTGACAGCAGAGTTGACCAAGCAAGGCAAATAATTAGTGAGCTTGAACGCTGCCTATTTGAAAACATGCAGTCAGGGGAGACAAAAGAAAAAAGGATTTTTAAAATGAAGCTCACCTACGAGATCTAGAAAATAGTTTTTAAAGGACAAATCTAAGATTTATCACCCTTAAAGAGGAGGCAGAGCGAGAAAGAAAGGGGTAGAAAGTTTACTCGAAAGGATAATGATGACTTCTCGAACCTAAAGAAAGATATCAATGTTCAAGTATAAGAAGGCTTTGCAACACTAAACAGGTTCAACCCAAAACACCTAAGACATTTAATAATCAAACTCCCAAAGGTCAGGAATAAAGAAAGGATCCTAAAAGCTGCAAAAGAAAAGAAACAAACAACATACACAGGAGCTCCAGTACATTTGGGAGCAGAATTTTCAGTGGAAACTTTACAGGCCAGGAAAGAGTGGCATGGTTACTTAAAGTGTTAAAGGAAAGAAACCCTTTATTCTGAAATTGTATATCCAACAAAAATACATTTCAAATATGAAGGAAAAATACTTTCCCAGACAAACAAAAGCTAAGGATTCCATCAACACCGAACTGTCCTATAAGAAATGCTAAAGGGATTTCTTCAGTCTGAAATAAAAGAATGAAAATGAGCAGTAAGAAATCCTCTGAAGGTATAAAACTCATTGGTAGTAGTAAGTACACAGAAAAACACAGAATATCATAACACTGTAATTGTGGTGCATAAACTACTCATATCTGGAGTTAAAAGACTAAAAGGTAAACTGATCAAAAATGGTAACTACAACAACCTTTCACGACACAGACAGTAGTAAAGTAAGATATAAACAGAAACAACAAAAAGTTAAAAAGTAGGGGGATGAAGCTAAAGTGTAGAGTTTTTATTAGTTTTCTCTGTGCTGGTTTGTTTGTTTATGCAATCAATGTTGTCATCCATTTAAAATAATGGATTATAAGATGTTATTTGCAAGACTTATTATAACTTCAAATCAAAAAATATAGAAGAGATACACAAAAAAATAAAAAGCAAAAAATTAAAACCACCACCAAAGAAAATCACCTTCACTTAAAAAAAAACAGTAAGGAAAGAAATAAGAAAGAAAAGACCACAAAACAATCAGAAAACAAATAACAGAATGGCAAGGGTACATTCTTACCTATCAATAATAACATTGAGTGCAAATGGACTAAACTCTCCAATCAAAAGACACAGAGTGGGCAAATGGATTTTTTTTAAAAAGACCCAATCATCTGTTGCCTACAAGAAATACACTTCACCCATAAAGACAAACATAGACTAAAAATAAAGGGATAGAACAAGATAGTCCAGGCAAATGGAAACCAAAAAAGAGCCACAGTAGCTGTACTTATATGAGACAAAATAGACTTCAAGACGAAGCTACCAAAAGAGATGAAGAAGGTCATCATGAAAAAGGAGGGTATTAAGCAAGAGGACAACAGCTGTAAATATATACGTATATTAAGCAAGAGGACAACAGCTGTAAATATATACGTACCCAACCCGACACTGGAGCTTTCAGATAGAGAAACGAATTTTATTAGAGTTAAAGCAACAGACAGAACCCAATACAATAACAGCTGAAGACGTCCACATGCCACTTTCGGCACTGAACAGATGATCTAGAGAGAAATTCAACAAAGAAACAACAACCAAGCTGCACTAGTGACCAAGTGGACCTAACTGACATTTACAGAACATTTCATTCAGTGGCTATGGAATCTGCATTCTTCTCCTCAACACAAGAATAATTCTCAAGAATGGACCATACCTTATGGCAACAAAACACATCTTTAAAAATTCAAAAACAAATTGAAATTATATCAAGTAATTTCTCTGACCACGATAGAATAAAACTAGAAATCAATAACTGGGAAAATTTTGGAAACTATACAAACACATGGAAATTAAACAATATTATCCTGAATGACCAGTGGGTCAATGAAGAAATTAAGAAGAAAATTTAGAAATTTCTTGAAACATAATTATGCAAACACAACATAGCAAAAGCAGTACTAAGAGGAAAGTTTATAGTTGTAAACACCTACATCAAAAAAAGAGAAAACCCTCAAACAATCTAATGATGCATCTTAAAGAACTAGAAAAGCAAGAGCAAACCAAACCCAAAATTAGTAGAAGAAAAGAAATAAAAAAGATCAGACTCGAAATAATTGAAGTTGGAATGAAGAAAACAATACAAAAGATCAATGAAACAAAAAGTTGGTTTTTGAAAAGATAAACTGAATTGACAAAGCTTTATCAAGACTAAGAAAAAAAAAAGAAAAGACCCAAATAAATAAAATCAGAGATGAAAAAGGAGACATTACAACTAATACTGCAGAAATTCAAAGGATCATTAGAGGCTACTATGAGGAACTGCATGCCAGTAAATTAGAAACCCCAGAAGAAGTGGATAAATTCCTCGACACATAGAACCTACGAAGACTGAACCATGAAGAAATCCAAAACCTGAACAGATCAGTAACAAGGAATGAGTTTGAAGCTGTAATATGGTCTCCAAGCAAAGAAAAGCCTGGGACTTGATCACTTCGCTGCTGCATTTTACCAAATATTTAAAGAAGAACCTTACTCAAACTATTCCACACAAAAAAAAATAGAGGAGAAGGAAATACTTCCAGATTCATTCCATGAAGCCAGTATTACCCTAATACCTAAACCAAAGACACATTTCAAAAAAAAAAAAAAAAACAAAAAAAACTACAGGCCAATATCCCTGATGAACATTAATGCAAAAATCATCAACAATCAATAAATGGTGCTGGGAAAACTGCATAACCACACGCAGAATGAAACCAGACTCCTATTTCTTGTCATACCTAAAAGTCACATGAAAATGGATTAAAGACATAAATCTAAGACCTCAAATTATGAAATGACTACAAGAAAACACTGGGAAAATACCCCAGGACATTGGATTGTGCAAAGGTTTCTTTAGTAATACCCCACAAGCACAGGCAACCCAAGCAAAACTGGAGTGATGGGATCACATCAAGTTAAAAAGCCTCCACACAGCAAAGGAAACAAGTAACAAAGTGAAGAGACAACCCACAGAATAGGAGAAAATATTTGCAAAGTATTCATCTGATAAGGGA